GCCGCGCCGCGCCGCGCCTCCCCTCCGCAGCTCCCAGGACTCGCAGTTCCCAGGCCCAGTCCGCCAGACCCGGCCGCCCTGAGCCGCTGGCGGGCCTGGGATCGGAGATCCGGACCCGTTGGGGTGTAAGTGCCCTCCTCCCCCCACCCCCGCCTCACCCTCTCCACCCCTTCACCCCAGGCAAGCACGAGGAGAGACAGGACGAGCATGGCTACATCTCCCGGTGTTTCACCCGCAAGTACACGTGAGTCCGGGCGCCCCGGGTGAGGGGGGGGGCAATTAGGGGAACAGGGTGGGATGGGAGGATGTGACTGTGCCCCCCCTCTGCACATCCAGGCTGCCCCCTGGTGTGGACCCCACGCTGGTGTCCTCCTCCCTGTCCCCTGAGGGGACGCTCACCGTTGAAGCGCCGCTGCCCAAGCCCGCCACACAGTCCGCGGAGATCACTATCCCGGTCACCTTCGAGGCCCGTGCCCAGCTGGGGGGCCCCGAGGCTGGGAAGTCCCAGCAGTCTGCAAACAATTAGAGCAAGGGGTCCTGCTGCACACCCTGAAGGCACCGTCAAGGCTGCCCAGCTCTCCCCACTTCTCTTTTGATACTTGTAGTTCTGTTTTCCGCAAATAAAATGTAAATCAGTCTAGGAGCCTGGTGTTTGTTGATGGCCCCGGAGGAGTTGATGGCCTTGTCATCTCTGGGGGAGGGGCAATGGCAGAGGGTTCTCAGATCCTGGCTACTTAGGAGGCTGAGATTTGAAGATCACAGTTCAAAGCCAGCCTGGGCAGGAAATTCCATGAAATGCCTATCTCCAGTGAACCACCAAAAAAGTCAGAACTGGAGCTGTGGCTTCAACTGTAGAGTGCTAGCTTCAGAGAAAAAGCTAAGGGTCATCTGCCAGGCCCTGAGTTTGGCCTCAGAACTGGCACACACAGGGCAGTTTGAAGGATATAAGGGCTTTCCACTTTCAGGGGTCCTGGAGTCTGAGGCTCCCCATGTTCCTTGAAGCCCATAGCAACTCGTTGTTCCCAGGGCAGCTGGGAGCAGCTGCATCCTGCAGAGACTTGTCTGACACACCTATCCCCTCCCCTCCCCCAATCGTGTTCTCCCCACATCTGGAGTGGGCATCGAGGCAGAGCAGGTCTGGCTGGCTGTGGCAGGTGGCTGGACTTGGAAAGATTCCAGCAGGTAAATAAACATGAAAGAATGGTGCTAGTCCAGCTGGCAGCTCAGCTCTGTGCCCTGCAGGCCAGGGCACTGCCCAGCTTCATCCTCCCACCCCCCCTCTGGTTTCTGAGTCTGTTGGACCCCTCCACACTCCTGCAGTGGCACCCGGAGAGTCAGCTCTGCTCACCAGTTCTGTGGCTGCCATGGGGGATGCTGTGGCCTGCCAGGGTGTGGCTGCCTGCTGGGCCCTTGTGGTGTCATCCCAATGATTCCCGCTTCACAAGTGGGTACAGCGCAGCTCAAAGAAGCGACAAGTACCAGGCATCAGTGACTCACACCTGTAATTCTAGTTACTCAGGAGGCTGAGATCTGAAGATCATGGTTCAAAGCAGGAAAGTCCCTGAGACTCCTCTCTAGTTAGCCACCAGAACACTGAAAGTGGAGCTGTGGCTCAAATGGTAGAACTCTAGCCTTGAGTAAAAGAGCTAAGGGACAGTGCCCAGGCTCTGAGTTCAAGCCCCATGACTGACAAGAAGAAAAAAAAAAAAAGGCCATAAAACTTGTTGAAGTTCTGAAGTGAGGGACTGTGGCTAGAAGCAGAGGAGAGCAGACTGACCCAGACTCAAAGCCTGGAGGGAGAGAAGGTTTCTCCATCTTGAATGACTGCCAAATAAGGCTTGTTGGGGACTCAGAAGGAAGAGGAGGAGGAGGCCTACAATTAGGGCTGCTCAACTGTCAAGGATGGGTGTGGTACAACAGGCCTCTAAGCCCTGCTATGCAGGTGGAGAGGGTGGATTGTCATCTGGGGCAAGTCCTGGCAAAAGCGCTAGACTACCTGAAAAAAACAATTCAGTTTTCTCCTCTCCACCAACCCAATCCCAGGACAGAAGAGACCTCTGGGGTGAGCCTCAGACTACAATCCTGTTGCACCTGCCTCCTGAGTAGCTGGGGTTATATATTCACTTCCACAGGGGCTAGTGGGCCTGATTGTCTATTGTCAATCCTTTGCAGGAACCACAAGGCTGGGGCTTTCCAGGGTCCCCTGAGTGGTGGAAGGCCAATTTCAGGCAGGGGGAGACTAAGGATGTGGACAGTGCTGGGTTCTTGCAGGTGGTGGCCTCTTATGGCCAGGAGGATTTCTGTTTGGGGGAACCCAGGACAGGGAGGCCCATCCCTTAATGAAATGGATGGATGACAAGGAGGTCCCTGAGCCCCTCCCCACCACAGCCCTCTTCCTGGCTTTCCCACTCTCCCCCTCCTTTTCAGGCCCCTTCTGAACTGCCATCCATCTGACCCCCCTGACTCACTCACCCTTACTTAGCTCCAGCCCTACTGTTCTCCCCCAAACCCCACCCCTCTTTGAGACTGGTGCTCAGACTCTCCCCCACTCCAGCTTGGTACTGGGGTTTGAACTAAGGACTCTCATGCTTGCTAGGCTGGTGTTCTGCATTCAAGTCACTCCTCCAGCCCCATTTTTCGATGGCTTTTTTGGAGCTAGGGGCTTGCTCCCCACCTGAGATGTGTGCCTGAGCTGCAATCTACCTATTTTAGGCTTCCCATGGTTGCTAGGATCACAGGCATATGGAGTTTCAGATTTTCCTGCCAGGACTCACCTGGAACAGTGATCCTCCCAATCTCAGCCTACCATGTAAGTAGAATTACAAGTGTGAGGCACAGGTACAAATGACCTTTTACAGTCTATTTGATGATGTTCTGCTCAAGGGCTGCCCAGCCTTGAGCCATGAGTGTATATCCATTACCAGGAGTCCTGGAGCCCCTGAACAACAGCTTAAGAAAGGAGAGATTGGGCTGGGAAGGTAGCTCAGCAGTAGAGTGCTTGCCTTGCATGCCGGAGGCCCTGGGTTCGATTCCTCAGCACCACATAAGCAAAAGAAAAAAGCCGGAAGTGGCGCTGTGGCTCAAGTGGTAGAGCACTAGCCTTGAGCTGAAGAGCTGAGGGACAGCGCCCAGGCCCAGAGTTCAGGCCCCACGACCGGACCCAAAAAAAAAAAAAAAAAAGAAAGGAGAGGTTCTGGAGGAGGAATTACTAATACCCAGTAGGTGCGCCACATAACCCCCAAGGCTTGGCTCTGCAGGCCAGCCACACTAAGGCAGGAAGCCTAGGACCCATGCACCCTGTGAATGGGTGCCACCTATGTCCTGAGGCTCTCCTCTGACCCCAGGCCCAAGTAGGACAGTACATGACTGGCCCACAGGCACTCTCCCAGAGAGGGCATAGACACTCCATAATGCCCACCTTTGGGAATCTCTGCCCTGTCAAGCCTGCAGCAGAATAAAGGGCAAGCCCATGTCCAGCCTTGAGAAACAGCGAGCCCACTCTCATCCCTACCCAGAGTGCCTTTGGCTCAATTCTCTCTTCTGGGTGTCAGGCTCCAAGAATCCTGTTCACTGTCCTGCTGCCAGCTGCCAGCCTTTGACTCTGCAGTTCAGGGTCTGGCTGCTGTGGACTAGATTCTGGGGCTCTGCAGAGCCTGGCACATTTTTGCTGCAGGGGATGTTGATCATTGTGCCCAGTGATCAGAACTATGCATAGACAGGTGTGGTAGTGCATGCCTGTAGTCCTAGAAACTCAGCAGATAATAGGAGGATCTCTGTTCAAGACCAGACTGGGCAAAATCATCTGGAAACCCTATTTGAGAAACAAACCAGAAGCAAAAGGACTGGGGGTGTGGTTGAAGTGGTAGAGCACTAGACGGGAAGCCCTGAAATCAGACCCTAGCATTGCAAGGTCTGTACCTGCCAGGTAACAACCTTAATCCTTAGCTGACTAAATCCTTTTAGCAATCCGAGGCCACTGAGAGGCAGCAGAGGATTGTGGGTACATTTATGGGCACTAATATCAAGTGCGTGCGTGGGTTCAAATCTCTGACAGTTTTTCTATTATTACCATTACTACTATTATATTTTTGGCAAGTGTGTGTGTGTGTGTGTGTGTGTGTGTGTGTGTGTGTGTGTTTGCCGGTCCTGGGGCTTAAACTCAGGGTCTAGGCGCTGCCCCTGAGCTTTTTTGCTCAAGGCTAGCACTCTACCCCTTTAGCCACAGTGCACTGGAGATGAGTCTCACGGCCATTCCTGCCAGGGCTGGCCTCGAACCGCGATCCTCAGATCTCGGCCTCCGGCGTAGGTGGATTGCAGGCGTGAGCCCGCGGCTGAATGAACTCAGTTGCTAGCGATTGGGCAAAATCCTCTTCCCAAAGGAGCACGCGCACGCACGGGGAACCGCCAGACTGTGCCGCCCGGAGCAGACTGTGCCGCCAGGCCCCTCCGGGACGTCCCGGGGCCGTGCAGATCGGGGCAAGGGGGCTGGCCTGGGCCCCTCCTCTGGGAAGCTTCCAGACGAGATCCGTGGGAGCGAAGGAGCGACAGCTGGTGCAGGCCGGAGATGGGGCCACTCTGGGGCGGGCGCGCCCTCCACCTGTAACTATCCTCCGCCCCCAAGCCTCCGGCCACGAACCGAGAGCCCGTCAGTCAGCGGGAGAACCAGGCGAGCCCAGCGGCAGCAAAGCCCGCAAGTGAGGAGGGGCGGGGCCTCGAGCCCCAGCAACAGGCCGGCCATTGGCGGCACCAGGAGAGCTGGCCTGTGACTGGCTCCCGCGCCCGACCACGCCGGAAGACGGCTTCCGTGATAGGAGGGGGCGGGGCTAGATGACATCCGGGCACCCGAGCCGCCAGAGCGTCTCAGCTTCTCAGCTCGGGACACGCGGGAGCCTGGACGACGCCCGCCCGCACCCGGAATCGCGGGGGCAGCCGGTCCTCCGCTTGGGTCCATGCATCCGGGAGGGGAGGTCACTAGGAAGCCCAGGGATGGGGACTCTTGGAAGGCTGGAACGCACGTGGGCAGGATCTACAGAGGGGCGGCCTCTGGGAGGGCTGGCTGCAGAGCCCGCGGCGTCCACCAGGCGGCCGCAGAGGACGGAGGAAAGCGGGATGTCCCCGGCCCGGCATCCCTAAGGCACTTGGGTAACCAGGTAATGGGGCAGGGTCAGATCCATGGACACGGGTGAAGCCCCGAGGGATGGACCAAAGCTGTTTGTTTTCTAACCTGCTCAGCTTCACTGTGGCCCAGTACTAACTACTAAAGAAATAAATACACCACAGATCGCCACTGAATATAGACTAGATAGATTTTATTCTATGTCAGCAGAGATGTAGCATCCTGATCTTGATGATCTTGGGTAGAATTTAGGGAGCCTGCATGTTTTGTCTTTTTTTGGGAGGGAGGGAGTCGTGGGGCTTGAACTCTGCCTGGGAACTGTCCCTCAGCTCTTCAGCAAGTCTAGTGCTCTGCCAGTTGAGCCACAGCACTACTTCTGGTTTTCTGAGTGGTTTACTGGAAATAAATCTCATGGCCTTTCCTACCCGGGCTGGCTTTGAACCGCGATCCTCAGATCTCAGGATCCTGAGTTGCTAGGATTACAGGCCTGAGCCACCACACCTGGCCCCTGAGCCTCTTTGTGCTCAAAGCTAAGGATCTACCACTTCTGGTTTTTCACTGGTTTATTGGGCACAAGAGTCTCAGACTTTCCAGCCAGGGCTGGCTTCAAACTGCAATCCTCAGATCTCAGCTTCCTGAGCTAGGATTACAGATGTAAGCCACTGGCACAGGGTAGGAACCTGCATGTTAACTCATCCAAAATGTCTGCAGTCAGTTACAGGTGGCTGAGTGCTGTATTTTTTACCCAGGTTTTAGTTGCTCCAGATTTGGGGCCACAGACTGTTTTTCACTCCTCACTGACCTCCTCCCTCCTCCCCCTTACCCTTCCTTCCTAGAACTCACCACATATACAGCATTCCTAGCGAGGGTCCCAGAAGTGGCCTTCGAACCTAGGCAGATTCTCTATCGCAACATATATCTTGCTAAACCTAACGTGATCCACAAGGAACTTGGCCAACTGGCTTGCAGAAACTGAGAAACAGGCCAGAGATGTAGCTCAGTGGTTGAGTGCTTGCCTGGCACGTGAGACCCTGGTTCCATGCCAGTACTGCTCAGAACAAAAACTTGCACAACCAAGACGCCTTTCAAGTTGCGGTGTGTGTGTAAAAAGATATATTGTTTAAGAGCTATTAAGTAGGAGGGCAATTTGTCCATTAGTGGGAAGAAATAGTTTAATGCCAAGCAGACCCAGACTGAAGGAATCTCTCAGTCACTCTTGCTTGATCCTGAGGACAATGCTGGGGACATAACTCAATTGAACACATTTAGGAGAGAGTACTGAGCACACATCTTTAGTGAGTATTTAATACTGCTCTATCCTAGAAGGCAAAACACCCAGCCTAGAAGAGCCCAGGGAGCAAATGTGACACTGTTTGTGGTGCCTCGGTTCTTCTGACCCATTCCTTCAGAGATTAAGTGTTGGGTTTGTCAGCTTAGGTAACAGAGCCTGCTACTACTGAAGACGAGTAAAAGGCTGGAGAAGCAAGATCCTTCAGTACTAGCCTGGTCTGGTAGTACACCTTTGTAATCCCAGCACTTGGGGAGCTAAGGCAGGATGGCTGCACATTCAAGGCAAGCCTGGACTACATATACATAGTGAGAGCTCATCTTGAAAAATGTAAACAAGGCCAAACATGGTGGTTTGGAACTTGAACCTGGCTACTAAGGAGGTAGGGATCAGGAAGACTGAGGTTCAAGCTGGCCCAGATGAAAAATTGAGACCCTATCTGAAAATCTGACAAATAAATGAAGAACTGGGAAATGTGGTTCAAATGGTAGAGTGCATGCCTAGGTAAGTTCAAGGCCCTGAATTCAAACCCACTTTTTTGGGGGGTGGGGGTGGGGTGTCAATTGCGGGGCTTGAACTCTGGGCCTGAGCTCTTCAGCTCAAGGCAAGCACTCTACCACTTGAGCCGCAGCACCACTTCCAGTTTTCTGGTGGTTAACTGGAGGTAAGAGTCTCACGGACTTTCCTGCCTGCGCTGGCTTTGAATCATGATCCTCAGATCTCAGCCTCCTTTGTAGCTATGTTTACAGGACTGAGCCACCAGCACCCGGCTTCTTTATCTCCAATTAACTAGCAAGAAGCTAGAGATGGAGGTGTAGCTCAAGTGGTAGAGTGTTGAAAAACCTGAGTAAAAAACCTGGGTTTGAGGCCAAGTTCAAGCCCCTAAAACAAACCACTGAAATGGTCCCCAACCTATGGGTACCACGTACCTTCATCAGTAAGCTGGAATGTGCATGCGGTGTGTGCCGACACTGAACTCAGCTTGCACAGAGCATTTTTGCTCATGACTGGCACTCTACCACTTCAGTCACATCTCCAAGTCCAACCAGAATTTTACTTTTCTTGCTACAATGGGGATGGAACCCAGGCGCTCTACCACTGAGCTCTAGCCTTCAGCCTGGGAAATGGTCTTCATACCTTGCCTGGGTCCAGCCCCTCTTCCACTGACCCCTGGTATCCACAAAGCAGTGTTTTGGCCATTTAGCCTGAACCACATTTATCCACAGACCTGGGAAACAAGCCAGCAGGCTAAGGAGCAAGCTGGTACAGCACATTTCAATGTTCTGATTGGACCAGTGGCTACTTAACGTCAATGCCCAGAAACACAGGAGAGCAAGTACGTTTTCAGAAGGTTGCTTGGAGACCTTGGCTGCCATTCTTAGCCGCTCAGCTCACCATGAGGCAGTGTGCAGTTTGTGCAATTTCAGCTGACCACTGGAGAGGCCAATGCATGTAGTAATTGCACAGAAATAGCACAGGCTGCCCAGTGCTCGCTCAAACCTCAGGCAAACAGTAACTATGTGTTGTACTCCAAGACCCTAGCACTGGATTACCTCAGTGATGGCTTCTAATCCACCCAACAGTTCTTGGGATGAATTCTACGCCTGGCTGTTTCAAGTTTCCCAACATACTGAACCAGAGATGTACACCTGTAATCCCAGCACTCCAAAGGCTAAAGCAGAGGGACCTTGTGCTCAAGGCCAACCTGGGCTACATAGCTGGGAAGGGGGGAAGGAAAGGACATGAGTCCATCCCTACTACCCATCCCTGATACTGATTTCTTGCTTGAGCTGGCCTCAGGCCATGATCCTACTTCTGCTTCCTCAGTAGTTGGGATTACAAGAATGATTCCCATAACCCCCCTTGTTTTGAGGTCATAATAGAGTTTGAACTTGGGGCCTCCAGCTTGCTGAGCAGACACTCTGCCATTTGAGCCATGCCCCACCCTTTTGTCAGTGGTGGGGCTTGAACTCTGGGCCTGGGCGCTATCCCGCAGCTCTTCAGTTCAAGGCAAGCACTACCACTTTTATTGGGGGTCAGTGGTGGGGCTTGAACTCTGGGCTGAACTGCTGTCCCTGAGCTCTTCATCTCAAGGCGAGCGTTCTACCATTTGAGCCACAGTGCCATTTCCACTTTCTGGTGGTTAACTGGAGATAAGACTCATGGACTTTCCTGCCCAGGCTGGCTTTGAACCATGATCTTCAGATCTCAGCCTCCTGAGTAGCTCGGATTACAGGTGTGAGCCACCGGCTCCCAGCTTGAGCTGCTTTCAAAGCTACCTTTATGCCCAGGCTTTGGCTTTCCTGCTATTTATGCTTTTCGCTGCTGGGATAACAAGCACATGTTGCACCCACCCAGCTATTGGTTAAGATGAAGTCCCTGAGAACTTTTATGCCTGAGCTGGCCTTGAACTCAGGCCTGAGCACTTTACTCAAAGGTAGTGCTTTACCACTTTGAGCCACAGCTCTACTTCTAGTTTTATTGAGTGGTTAACTAGTTAAGAGTCTCACCAGGACTGTTCTGCCTGGGCTGGCTTTGAACCATAATCCTCAGATCTCAGCCTCCTGAGCAGCTGGGATTACAGTTGTGATCCACCAGTGCTCAGCTGATCTCCACCTTCAAAGCAGCTAGGATTACATGCTTGAGCCATCATGCCTGACCTGTTAGTGGGTGTTTGAGACAGGGTCTCTATTAAGCCCAGGCTGGCCAGGAACTCAGGGAGTGCTGGGATTATAGGAATGCTCCCACAGACCTGGCCTCAGAAAAATCTCAAAACTGAAGAGCTGGGAGCAGTGGCATGTTCTTATAATTCCAACAACTTGGGGCTGAGGCAAGAAAACAGCTTGGGCTCAGCAGTATGAGGCCAGCCTGGGAAACAATACCATCTCACAACAATAAAAAATAAGCCAGGCCCTGGTGATCCATGCCTGTAATACGAGCTACTCAGAATACCCAGAGCTGAAGAGCAGTGGTTTGAAGCCAGTACAGGCAGAAAAGCCAGACAAGACTAAAGAACACCAGCTTTGCCAGAAAGCCAAGTGAGAGCATGAGGCTCTGAGTTCAAGCCCCAGTATCAGTGTCTGGGCCAATACTTTTGGCAAGTTCCTGCCCTGCTCCCCTACCAGGGGATTTACCCTGCCAGGGGCAAAGATGTAAACCCCAGTGACTTCCAGGGGTACCCTTCTCACTCCTTTTTTTCTGCTATTGCCCAAGGTTGCAGGTCTCCTTGGTTTTCTGCCTTCAGTGCATCCTTCCTAGGCGAAAAACACACGTGCCAGTTCCACCCGACTTCCAGCTCAGCAGTGGCCTGGGGCAGCAACCAATCAGTGTCGCAGGCCCTCATTCACAGCTAGTCCCACAGTCACACTTGTAGCAGTACTCTCAGGGTGGCCCCAGGGCCAAGAGACCTAACACAGGTGAGCCCATTTGCATACCAGGAATGTGAAAACAGTGCTTCAGAAATTAAAGTCTTAGGGCTGGGAAGTTGGCTCAGTGGTAGAGCGCTTGCCTTGCATGCCTAAGGCCCTGGGTTCGATTCCTCAGCACCACATAAGGAAAAAGCCGGAAGTGGTACTGGGCTCAAGTGGTAGAGTGCTAGCCTTGAGCTGAAGAGCTGAGGGACAGCGCCCAGGCCTAGAGTTCAGGCCCCACGACCGGACCCAAAAAAAAAAAGAAAAGAAATTAAAGTCTTAGAGATCTAGCTGACTGCATCCCTTAAGTGTCCAGTGTTGGTTTTGTTCTGATTTTTATTCATTTCAGTATCGGGGCTTGAACTTAGGGCCTCACACTCTTGCTCAGCTTCTTCACTCATGGCTGACATTCAACCATTTGAGCCATGCTTCCACTTCTGGCTTTTTTGCTAATTAACTTTCCCAGTTATCTTTGAACCTTGATCCTCATATCTCAATCTCCTGAATAGCTAGAATTACAGTCATGAGTCACCAGTGCCCCCCTCAGTTTTATTACATACACACACGCCCTCCTCCAGGTGGCCTTAAACTTGGGATATTCCTACCTCCACCTGCAGAGCACCCATCTTGTTTCTTTGCAGCAGTGGAATGGAACTCAGGGCTTCTCACTCACGAGGCAAGTCACACTCCTAGCCCTTGCTTTTCTTGTATATGGTTGTGGTCCCCACCCCCTTCCACAACACCCCACACCCAATCAAACTTTCAAAAGCAAAGGACAAGCTAAACTCATCAAACGCAGCCCAGGGGCACTGAGATCAGATTTGTAAGTTTATTTGAGCAATGTACGACAGCTACATAATGACTCACATTCATGATATTCCATCACTGAGGAAAACTGCTAAGAATGGTCCGTGTGCGAAATAATTCCTTAGAGAAACACGGAGCTGGAAAAAGAATCACTGAGCAGACCTTAAAAAGAGTTCACTGCATAACATGACAAAAAAGCACAAAGGCTCATTCAGAGAACAAGTTGTGTTCTCCTAACTGGAAGTTATCATTTCACCATGACTGACACCAGACATTAAGATTAAACTAACACTGGTGTTTCTTTTGCCCCTTCCCCCCAAAAAACAAAAATATAACTGCATGTCACTATAGCAACATCCAAAACAGATCAATTTGTTACGATCACTATTTGGTAGAGCAAACTTTACCCCCAAAGGAAAAAATTAAATTAAAAAATTTTAAAAAATTTGAAGACTTAAGTTGGTTTTTTTTCTTTTGTCATAGGAATACATAACACCTACAGTATAAGTTAATCAATTTCAAGCTACTGTATAGAAACACAACACTGGCATGCACAATATGGTATCGATAGTAATGAAGGAGTAATCATCTCACTGGAAAGACAGGAGCATAGGCAAGTGCATTTCTTTAAAGAGAAAGGAAAGAAAGAAACCATTCAAGCTGCTTAAATAGCGAGTCTTCTATTCCCTCTTCAGTCCCAGCCCTCAGTAAGATTTTATCTTGCATTATTTCTGAAAAGCAGCCAGAGCCAAAGCTAAAATTTAAAGGAAAAATAGGTTTTGTAATTCCAGTAAATCATTTCCAAACACTACAAGGAAGGACATGACACTGCTCGCTGGATGCCAAGATGAGTCACAGAAAGCCCCCCTTCTCCCCCCCCCGCCCCTGTGTATTTTCCACCTGTGACAGTGACCCCAGGCCTTTGGTGGCACAGCCACAGCCAAGTTTTCTCTGCTTGGTCCTCCTGTGCATCTTGGTGTGGGGGGAGGGCCTTGCTCGCTAGTGAGGGGCCCTAGGGAAGGAAAGTCACGCTAAACTGTGCAGCATGGCTCCTGCACCACCCATCACCGTTCCCTATCACACACACTTATTTCTAGTGGGAAGCTTGATTCTGGAAAAAGCAATGGCCAGTTTCCTCCATTATTACTCTCCTTGCCTAAGCAAAAGAAAGTGGATGGCAAGTCCTGTGGGCCCATCTTGAGAGGCCCCCGTCCTGGACTGCACTCAGCATGAGACAGGCCATATTCAGACACATGATCCAAAGGAGAAAGTACGAGGGGCCTCCAGCTAGCAAATGAGCTAGCAGACAGTCATGTAAGCTTCCTTCAACTACATAAGCACACAGACTGCAGACAGGTGAATCTCCAACTCCCACACTGTCGGTAGAAGAGCAGTTTTGATGAGACGGGACGTAGGCGCTCACTTACTCACTACCTGATGAAGATGGAGACCGAGTGATTCAGGGAGGAGAAACTTCCCAGGCTCCCAAACAGACAGCTGTTTGTATCAGGGTCTCCACCTGGCTGGTACTCTAGCTCCAGACTTGTCATACAGCACCACACACCTTCTAGAAAAGACCACCCGGCCTCTCCAGTGGCCTCCCAAGTCCCCTGGGTGCCCGGCCCATGGCACAGTGGGGAAGACTCGGGGCAGAGGGTACAGAGGAACAAATGGCAGTGTGATCTCCGAGGGGCCCAAGCCCTTCTGAAAACATCCCGCCAGGACAGCAGACCCAAGGCCCCTCAACTCTGGTGGCAGGTATTTAACAGTTCTGCTAAAGCGATCAATAACTTTTGTGGTGGATACATGGTATAGGAAGGAAGAGCTCAGCCACCTGCCAAGCACCTATAAACCAAAACCAAGAGTTGCCTTGATTCTCCTTAGGCAGGTCTTCCAGCCAAGGAAGGAGACAGGGGGAGAGACAGACACAGACAGACAGACAGACAGCAACACCAACCTGGAAGCAGTGAGTGAGGGCCCTGCAAAGCCAACGCAACAGCAAAGGAAAGCTCACAACCGATGGCTGGATGTCACATATGGCTGAAACGCAGAAATACTGTCAACTGCAACTTAGTGTTAATACTGTTGCCGGCCAGGCCGGAAGTGTAAGGTAGAGAATACCTTAGGCTCCAAGGCTGTCCGTTTGGGATGAACTAGGCTGTGTCTGCAGCGTACACTCTGAAAAAAAAGCACAGCTAAGGAGCTCACATGGACAGGAAGTACCCGAATCTGAAGACAAGAGCAAATGAACATAAAAATCCTTACTGGAACCACAGAACTCACTGAATGAGGGCCACCCATTTACGCTTCTCCATCCTAACACCCTATCACCTGGCAATAAGTTAGACAGACAGCTCCACTTGCACAAACCTACAGAACAATCTGGATGCCTGTGTGAGGTGCTACTCCAGTTCCAGCACAGCTAGCCTGACTTTCCACTAGTGGTATTTTGGCAAAAATGTCAAAAGAGGCAATCAAAGACAGGACAGGTCGTGGGTTTCTCCCTGGGAAGGTCAGCCCTCCCTTTCCCTCCCCCACCCGACCCCCAACTCATGGGAAAAAAATAAAGACTGCAGTAGTAGCATCGGCGTGCGCTGCCAGTCCACCTGGGGCCTTAATTGTTGCCTTCTCCACCGTCGTCGTCTTGCTGATCGCTTGTCCAGAGCGTTAGGTTGTCACGGAGAAGCTGCATGATGAGGGTGGAGTCCTTGTAGGAGTCCTCGTTCAGCGTGTCGAGCTCGGCGATGGCGTCATCGAAGGCGGTCTTGGCCAAGTGGCACGCTTGCTCAGGGGCGTTCTGGATCTCGTAGTAGAAAACGGAGTAGTTCAGAGCCAGGCCCAATCGGATGGGGTGAGTGGGCTGCATGTGCTCCTTGCTGATCTCATGGGCCTCGCTGTAGGCCTTCTCTGACGACTCCACCACTGTCGCCCTCTTCTCACCAGTGGCTACTTCGGCCAGGTAGCGGTAATAGTCCCCTTTCATCTTCAGGTAGAACACTTTGCTCTCGTACTGGGTCTCGCTGCAGTTCTTGATCAGGTAGCTATCCAGCAGGCTCAGCACATCCTGACACACAGCCTCCAGCTCCTTCTCGATCTTCTCGCGGTAGGCACGCACCATCTCTATCTTCTTCTCATTGCCATCTGCAGACGTCTTCTGCTCGATGCTGCTGATTACCCTCCAAGAGGAGCGGCGCGCCCCAACCACATTCTTGTAGGCCACGGAGAGGAGGTTTCGTTCTTCATTGGACAGTGGCTCGTTCAGTTCCGTCACCTGCAGGAGAGGACAACTTGTTACAGCACTGATGACGTCATGGCCCAACCACAGATCTATGACAACACGCAACACATCTACCAGATGATCCAAGGGATTCACAGGCAGAAAGAGAAGCTTGGTGTGGGTGGAACAGCCATGGGGAAAATGCATCAAGTCCAGTCTTAGATGACACATTGCCAAGTCAACATTTTTTCGGGGGGGGGGGTGAGGAATGTTGTGGGACTAGTGCAGTGTTTTAGGAACTTGGGGAGACAATAAGCAATACATAAGAGAGGTGAACAGATTGCGTGTTTGTGCTTGTGCTGATACTGGGGCTTAAACTCAAGGCCTCAAGCTCTTGCTTAACGATCTGCTCAAGGCTGGAGCTCTACACTTGAGCCCTGCACCCTTTTCTTACTGCGGACTGAGCCCAGAAAATCCTGAACTATCACCTAAGTATACCCCAGCACTGTGGTCCTCTATAAGGGGACCAGGGACCGAGGACAATAGCATGAAACTGGTAGTAGCCACTAATTTAAAGGTTACATACATGGAGATAGTTACACCAGAACCAAAACAAATCAGTTTTCTGCTTGTTACAAGCAATGTATTTAAAGAATTCTTTGCTTGGGCTGGAAAGGCTTAGTGGTAGTGTGCTCGCCTAGCATGCATGAATCCATGGGTTCCATTCCTCAATACCACATAAGCAGAAAAAGCCAGACATGGTACTGTGGCTCAAGTGGTAGTGCGCTAGCCTTGAGCAACAGAAGGTCAGGGACAGTGCCCAGGCCTTGAGTTCAAACCCCTGGTCTGGCACACACTAAAAAAAAACTTTGCTCTTTACTCAATATCCAGAATATTAGAACATTTACAAGATTATCTCTTAAACTGGCCAGTTGTGGTGAGCTAACCTTTTCCTCAGCTTCAAAACCAGGGACAGGAGAGTGAAGGAATTGCATCAGCACCTACGGGGAAAGGGTGTCTGCCCAGCCCTCTGCAAGCACCTGCTAGAAATGCCACTGGGGATGAGTGGCGATGCTCCTCCAGGGTCCAGTTCTCTGTGAAGCCACTGTGGCTCACTCCTCAGACCACACTGGCCCTGCCACCCCCACAGGACAAGGGGTGCCCACATCCAGGGTCTGCGAGCAAGCCTTCCTTTTCTCTGGTTCCTGTTTGTCAAGCAGATTTCTGCCCCTTCCATGAGATTCTGCGGAGACCAACCCTGATAGTCTCTTGACCTGGTACTGAGCAACAGCAGAAGGCATGCTAGGTATATGCTTCCTTCTCCCCACAGGGCTGTCTTACGTTACGGTCCCCTAGCTCATCTTCCTGTATTGCGTACCTCTTCTCTATTTCACCATCTTCTCTGGCCTGGCTGGCCCTCCCTGAGCTACCTCACACCTCTGCCCACCATGAGCCTGAGCCATGAGCACCAGACAGCAAAGGCCAGGGCTAAGGGCCCTGCATGCCCCTTGGCCCCAGCAGCACACCCTAAAGTGGGCCTGCAGTGCCAAGAGAAGTTTGCATGCCTGCAGCCACAAATATCAAGTTCTGGCCTTTCCCCTAAATCCCGCTGGACATATTCCAAGAGCCAGAGGCTATTTAAAGCCCCAGTGACCTCAACAATGCACTATACCAGGTCTCCTCTTGCGGAGGAGGAAGAGGAAGAGAAGAGGCAGCGGCGAGCTGGGCTCGAGTCCGGAGGCTGCAGCTGGGATACAGACATTATGAAACAACACCATCATCTTTAGACAGAGCACCTCAGCCACAGTTGGAACATACTTACATGTGCTCTACTGGAGAAAAACTAAGCTAGAGGGGAAAACCTTTTTTTTATTATTTTGTCAGTTGTGGGGCCTGGGCGCTGTCCCTCAGCTCTTCAGCTCAAGGCTAGTGCTCTACCACTTGAGCCACAGTGCCACTTCCATCTTTTTCTGTGTATGTGGTGCTGAGGAATGGAACCCAGGGCTTCAAGCATACAAGGCAAGCACTCTACCACTGAGCCACCTTCCTAGCCCTAGAGGGGAAAACCTTTAGTTTTAAAAGGTCCACTCAAAAGCAAGGAAGAGTTCCTTAAAACCTCAAACTAGAAGTTACACAACTCTCTTAGAGCTGGGCACTGGTGACTCACATTTGTAATCTTAGCTATTCAGGAGGCTGAGATCTCTAAGAATTGTGGTTCAAAGCCAGACCAGGCAGGAAAGTTCATGACTTTTTTTTTTTTTTTTTTGGTCGTGGGGCTTGAACGCTGGCCTGAGCGCTGTCCCTCAGCTCAAGGCTAGCACTCTACCACTTAAGCTACAGCGCCACTTCCAGTCTTCTGGTGGTTTACTGGAGGTAAGAGTTTCACGGACTTTCCTGCCCAGGCTGGCTTTAAACAGCCTCCTGAGAAGCTAGGATTATAGGTGTGAGCCACGGGCACCTCCCAATTAACCAGCAAAAGCCAGAAGTGGAACTGTGGCGTAGGTAGTAAGACTGCTAGCCTTAAGAGAAAAAGTTCAGTGACAGTGTCCAGTGCCCAAGCCCTGAGTTCAAGCCCAGGACCACCATCAAACACACACCTGCACACATGCATGCATTTAAAAAAAAAAGTCCTTTAGGTCGGAACTGTACTACAGCTTAAGTGGCAGAGGGTTTGCCTAGCCCCAGCACCAAAATAAGAAAACAATAAATAAAGCCCTTTGCTGTTGTTGTTGTTGAGGGGCTTGAACTCTGGGCCTGGGCAATGTCCCTCAGCTACTCAACTCAAGGCTAGCGCTCTACCACTTGAGCCAGAGCACCACTTCCGGCTTTCTGGTGGTTTATTGGAGGTAAGAGTTTCACAGGGCTGGGAAGGTGGCTCAGTGGTAGAGCACTTGCCATGCATGCATGAGACCCTGGGTTCGATTCCTCAGCACTACATAAGCAGGAAAAAAAAAAAAAAAAGCTGGAAGGGGCACTGTGGCTCAAGGGGTAGAGTGCTAGCCTTGAGCTGAAGAGCTGAGGGCCAGCGCCCAGGCCCAGAGTTCAGCTCTTCTTGCCTAAGCCGGCTTTGAATTGAGACTGCTGGCATCCAGCTGTTACTTACTTTCTGAAGAGAGTTCTTGCTTAGGCACAGGGCTCTGGTGGTTCATATCTGTAGTCCTAGCTACTCAGGAGGCTGAAACCTGAGGATCATGGTTTAAACCCAGCACAGGCTTAAGAAAGTCTTTAAGATTTTTTTTTTTTTGGGTCCGGTTGTGGGGTCTGAACTCTGGGCCTGGGCGCTGTCCCTCAGCTCTTCAGCTCAAAGCTAGCACTCTACCACTTGAACCACAGCGCCACTTGCGGCTTTTTTCTTTTTGCTTATGTGGTGCTGAGGAATCGAACCCAGGGCCTCAGGCATACAAGGCAAGCGCTCTACCACTGAGCCACCTTCCCAGCCCCAGTCTGTAAGATTTTTATCTCCAATTAGTCACAAAAAGGCTAGAAGTGGAACTGGCTCAAATGGTAGGGGGCCAGCCTCGTGTGAAAAAGCCAAGAAAGAAAGAACTGGAGGCCCTGAGTTCCATCCTCCACAAAGGGGAAATAAGTCTCCCCTTTCTCTGTTCCTACTAGCTTAAGTTTAAGTATCTAGTAACTAAAAGATCTCAAATAAAAAAAGGATTGAAAAATCTGCAATTCTCACCAATTTCTTTTTTTGGGGGTTGGTTCTAGGGCTTGAACTCAGGGCCTGGGCTCTATCTTTGAGCCTCTTTGGGCTCAAGGCTAGCGCTCTGAGACCACTTAAGCCACAGTAACATTTCTGGTTTTGAGTGGTTAACTGGAGATAAAGAGACTTTTCTGCCTGGGCTGGCTCATGATCATCAAATCTCATCCTCCTGAGTTGCTCCCATTTTAGGCATGAGCCACTAGCACGGCCTCACTAATTTCAAAAGTAACACTCTAAATCCCAGCTACTAAGGAGTAAGGTATTAATTATGTCAAGTGCTCTTCTCTAAAAAAAAATCTTTCCTACCTTAGTAACATTAAGATTCTTAGAAAGCTTCTTAGGTGACTTTCTAACCTTGAGGCTTGGAATCAGGTCATTTACAATTTCCTCAATTTTACCATCTTCAAATGCAATGAATGCACTATTTAGCTTTTAAACTTTTTTTTTTCTTTAGATCCAGGTTCTGTGTCCAAGTTGTGGTATCCAGGCTGGCTTTAACTCCTGGTCCTCCTCCTACTTCATCTTCTGAATGCTAAGATTACAGGAATGGCTCACGCCTGTAATCCTAGCTACTCAGGAGGCTGAGATCTGAGGATCATGGTCCAAAGCCAGCATGGGCAGCAAACTTTGCGAGACTTTTATCTCCAATAAACCACTAGAAAACTGGAAGTGGTGCTGTAGGGAAATCGCTCAGGTCGAGTTCAAGCCCCACAACCACCACACCACCACCACCAACAACGATTACAGGAATGTACCATCACACCTAAATACTGAAAATAACTCAATTTAACAAGAGTTAATTTAACTTTACTTATGTGTGTGTGTGTGCGTGCGTGCGTGCGCTGGTCCTGGGGCTTGAAATCAAGGCCTAGGCTCTGTCCCTGAGGTTTTTGCTCAAGACCAGCACTCTACTACTTGAGTAACTTCTTGCCTTTCCCCCCCCCTTTGGAGTTAACTGGAGATGAGTCTTTCTTGTCCAAGATGGCTTTGAACCTTGTTCCTCAAATCTCAGCCTCCTGAGTAGCTAGGATTACAGGCAAGAGCCACTGGCAACTAGCCAGAGAGGGTGTTTTTTGGTTGTTGTTTATTTCTTGGTCATGGGGCTTGAACTCTGGGCCTGAGCGCTGTCCCACAACTCTTCAACTCACAAGGTGAGCACTCTACCACTTGAGCTGTATCGCCACTTCTGGTTTTGTTTTTTTTTAAAATTATTGGAGATAAGAGTTTCAAGGACTTTTCTGTCTAGGCTGGCTTTGAACCAAGATCCTCAGATCTCAGCCTCCTGAGTAGCTAGGATTACAGGCATGAGCCCAGCCAGAGAGGTATTTTTAAAGGTAGCAACATTGCA